CGGATATTACTCACGGCAAGACGCTATTACGGCTGGGTTCAACTTCCCCGCAATCCCGATCACCGAAACGACGGCGACGACGGTCTCGATTCACGATCCGGCGAAGCGACGAGGCCGCATGCACGATCAAGTTTCTGGCCCGTTCGCGAGCTTGCGGTTACGTTTAGTTCGCCGTGCGGCGAAATTATAGGTACCACGCGGACCCTTCTCCCTCCCTCCCTCCCTCTCTCTCTCTCTCTCTCTCTCTCTCTCTGCTTTTCTCTTCCTCTCTCACATATTGTCTGCTTCTATTGTTCGATATATGTGTCCGTCTGGTTCCTGCTGAAACGCTTACGGGGCTCGAACGATGCACTAGTAATAACCATCATCGATTCAGGCAATGTCGTATCTGCGTTTCTGTCAGTTTAACCATTAATTCTTACGGATGAAATTTTTAATTCATTATCAAAGTTTAAAGTCGCAATTGGTAATGTAGCCGACTCTCGTAATTTGGATCAATTCGAACACAAAATCGTAACATCTAAAATTATAATTATTTATAAGTTAAACGTATGTGTGTGGCAATTTGATTTATTCTAACATCACACGCTTAGTTGATGAACGTTAAATTATATTTTTTTATTTATCTATAAAAATAGACAATATAAATCTTAAACGTGTATACAATGTATTATTTTTAATAGACACAGAAAAATATCGCCATATAAAGAAGATAATCTCTTTTACATGCAAAAGAAAAACAAGCAAAATTACCGGTTATTTAATATTCTCTTGATTCTTTTCGCGGAGCGTAATTATTAGAATAAAAATTTATAAAAATAGATTCCAAAGTTTTATTATACTGTAACGCAAATAATTGTGATTCGCAAAGATTGAAGAGATTCTCGCTACAAAGAAAAAAAACCGATTTATAAAAATCCTTCGGTCTTTAAATCCGTGGATTTATACATATAAATCCTTCACTCTTTATAAATTCAATGGTTTCAGTCACAACCATAGACGTGTATATTTATTTTCGCAGAGCGTAATTATGAAAATAAAAATTTGTAAAAAGAGAGACATCAAAATTTTATTATACTGTACACTGTTAAAAGTTAAAAATATATTGTTAAATTTAATCTAATTTAAGTCGTCACTGTTCATCGATATATCGTTATTATTATATTAAATCTAAATAAAATAACGATATATTTTAAATAGAAGCAGTGTGGCGACTTAAATTAGGTTAAATTTGACATTATAGAATTAAGTGTAATGAAAACGATTGCGATTCTCGAAGATTGAAGAGATTCTCGTTACAAAACAGACCGATTTGTAAATCTATCGCTCTTTAAATCCCTGGTTCCAATGTTTCTAGTCACAACCATGGACATACGCTTACTTCCCATCGAAAGTCTATGGGTCTGTACTAACCCCTTATTCGTGACCCCTTCGGTACAGTAACCACGCAGTGTTATCTCCAATAGGGGAATCTGGCACGTTTCCAAACAACGAGAAACTACAACGGCGATAGCTATGACGAAAATGAGATCCCTAGTTTAGTGTAACGACGAGAGTAAAATAACGCGCTATCCGAAAATGTCAATTGGCTATAATCCATAGAAAATCCTATAACACAATAATCGTTTACAATATTCAATGACGACTATACTTATTATAAAAGGAAAAAATCGCCGCGCAATCGCAAGCAATATGATTAAAAAATAATATATAACGTATATCTGTGTCGTTGAAAATACGAGGGAAATAACGATGGAGGAATCTATTCACACACAAAATTCCGAGCTCGTTTTTGCAAATCCGGACGCAATGGCCTCTCGCGTTCTCTTCGCAATGCGCCAAACAGTACCTCGCGCGATTCACGCGCGCGGCTCTCAAATAATTTCGAATTGAAATCGAGAACGGCGCAGCTTGCATTTCCGTCCATTGTACGTCGCGCATTCCGATGCGTTCGCGGCGAGGCGCACGCGACCCGCTTCGAGATACGCTCGTCCGAACGCGAAATTTATTTCTCGATTTCGCTCCGGGTCGCGACGAGAGTCGCGGAAAGTTACGTTAGGGGAATATTTGATACTGGTTGGGCGTGCAGGGCGTCACCGATCGATCTGACCGACTCTTTTTCAGTCTTCCGTGAGAGCTTACCCCTGTTATTATTACTTCCTCTATTATTACTGGTTTTATCATTATTTACCAAGCCTTAATTGCGTTGACTATGAAGGAAGTAAAAAAATAAGTGATAATGTTACCTAACTCTCAAAATAGTATTAGTAGATTCTATAAGAAATTATTGTATTTTTATTGTTAGCAGACCCTATTTTTTCGATCATATATAAAAGATTCTAAAAATAATTTAACAATTTAAATTACCAAGAATCGGCATTGTTATTAATGCGCTATAAATATTATTATAAAACCTATATTTTAAAATCTATAATGTCTTGCTGGTAAGAAATAAAAGAGAATAGCTCGGAAGCATCTGTTACTTATTGTGAAAAGTACAGTTTAGTAAAAAGATATTAAAAGCAATCGAAACTCGAAGGAGTTTAATTAAACAGAGAAGATACGAGTTTTAATAATCTACATGGCAAAAAGAAGCTCTTACTTTGATTAATTTGATGTCAAAACGTTACTTCAGCAAACTTTTCCTTTAAAGTTTAAAATTATCAGGATGTTTCATATTGAAAATTACTGCCAACGCACAAAGGATCCAACCAAGTCTTTTCCCATACTCGTCAAGTTGAAGAATGTAAGATTCCTAATCGTAATTTCCTGCAACATGCTGTGTTCGAAAGAAATAAGTACACCCAGTTAATTACACAGATGTAACTAGATACGATGTACTAATAAATCATTAAATTGTTTTTTTAAGGACCAATCAAGAAGGATTATTTCACCAGACGCTCTCGTATCTGACTCGCGTAACGCGGAACAAACTCAATTATTTATGGGCACATTAGCAACGCGAACTAACGAGGGCGTGCTCAATGAATTACTGAAATCGTATTCAGCCGGAAAACCATCTGCGGTTATGCAATGACGTTAAACAAAGCGTTAATCCTCTGATGCACGTTGGGAGTCAAAATAAATCCCCGTGCGTTGCACATAATTTACTTGTCACGCGTGTAGTTTTGGGAATATTGGCTTATTAAGATACAAAGGGTATCCCAAAAGACCGCTATGTAAAGATAAGAAAAATCAGTTTTGAACGTAACTTTCCGAGTTTTCAGATATTTCCGCTGTTTGCATGCTGAAATCTCGTGGGTTCGGAGAAATCGATAGAAAAACCGATGAACATTAGAGAACCTTATTTTTATTTAAGTTAAAGCACGAAGTTTTATAACGTACGTACGGCTTAATTTATTAAAATAGTTACTTTCCATGTTATACGTATATTCGAAAAATATATTAAACTAAATGTAAATTATTGTGATAATTATAAAAGTTGGAGATGCTCCTCGGCTGAACTGCTCGCAGAAAAGTAACATTCGATAAAATCACAATAAATGCATTCGTTATTAACAAAATTTCGCCAACAGTACACCGAAAAACACTAAAGTTTAGTAAATATTTGTTTAAATAATTCTAAGGAAATATTTTTACTAAATTTTATTTGATACAAAAACCATTAATTTAATTTAACTATCACTTTTTTTTATCGAGTATTCATTTATTGTAAGTAAACGTTTACTTAGTACTATTAAAAAGAATCTGAATTAAGATTTAGTAAATTTTTTTTCAGTGTATATTATCTATACTTTTTACGCTCGCAATTCTTCATTAAATTAAAACTCGTTTGTGCTCAAATTGCTATTTCACCGCGTGCCGATTGTGGAGAGAGAAACCAGAATTCAATTATAATCAGGTAGAACCTTTTAGTAATACGAAAACGGATAAAGTGCATCAAAGGATTAAACAAGGCGCCCTCAGGTACGCCGAAGCTTGCGCTCTTACCGGGGCGGCGAATGTTGCACATATGCCAAGCGGAAACCGCCTCGGAATAGTGGACAGGGTGGTCGCACGCTATCCATCACGAAAGTTGAAGTTGAGGGATACCGGCTAATTACTTTGTCGGCGGATATACGCGCACGCTCGTCGACGTATAATACCACACCTAATCTCAAAATGTGCTGACACTACTTTACTCTTTCGCCCGCGATCGCGCGCTGCCGCCGGCTTAATGACGGTAATGCGCCACGTTTACGCAATGTAATTCCGGTACGCAGAGAATAAGCGTATATAAATATTGATCCGGTTGCTGCAATGACTATCAACAGCGCTCTCAGTGCGCCGCTCTATGACGTTGACATATAGGACAGAGAGAGAGAGAGCGCGCGCTTTGAGATTATCGGATTGTTGAGATTATCCCAAGATAATCTCGAATCAAAATCCCCGGCTCGGTTGCGACATTATCTGCCAGCGTAATTAGTTCCTTTTGACACACACGTTTGGCGCTTTATCTTTAAATCAACGCGAACAATCGATCTTTTATATGTATAGCACGGATAAATATCGGAGAAAATAGATTTTCCATTACCAATTGCACATAACCGCTACGTGTTATAAAAATGTTAATAATTATTATATTATTACACAAGAGAATGAAAAGATAATGCATAATATTCATATCATAGTTCTCCGTAAAATTATTCTATTTTTGTTATCACTGTATCGAATATTAAATTAATAACCGCGACGGAATGTGAGCTACAGCGACCAAATCGTTAAATAATTTCAACAAAAATTATCCCAGCGTTAAAATGGTATCGATAACGCAACGAGAGATAATAATTTAATGCGTATGTAATGAGATGAGAAAAATTCTATATAAAATACATGAAGAAATATAAAATACGATTTAATTCGAGTCAATTTTAACACAGTATATTTGTGCTAATTTAATCACGACATTTGACGATTGTATCGAAGCAATCCGTTAAGAGCTATTTTGTGTTTTCTTCGATCGACGAAGGAAATAAATAGTATTTTGTAAGCGGACTTACCCAAAACAGTGCCGACGTAGGAATGCGATGTGTCGAAGGATATCGGTCCATTCGTGCTCTCGAAGGATACATCTTTGCTAAACAGGCTCGCGTCACGAAACAAGCGTATCGTCCAGGATCTGCAAGATAAATCGCGATTGTGAAATACTGGAGAATTTTTTTTGAGACGGGAAAAGTAATTATCGGCGTTTCTCGCGTGCCGTAATATCGGCACGGCTCGCTCCGGATCATTACGCAGAAGGCCGATAATCTGGTAATAACATGAATAAAGGAAAAGGAATCGTCGGAGCAAAACAACAAAGTATTAAGTGTGTGTATAACGTACTACGATTACGAAAGACTGTATCTTGTTTATTTACGTGAACTACTTCCAAAGGAATTATTTCGAGTTTAATTTTAGAGAAAGATTTACCAAATATCTTCCCAACGTCGAATGGTAGCAAAGTACAGTGGATTCCTCGCGTAGCTGTAATGTTCGAAGTGCAACGTTTTACATGGAAACAAAGGATTGACAAAGGATTCTAGAGTACGGTATTATTGTATACAGTTAGAATGTCGAGCTAAAATCCTCGACCATCTCACCGGATTTATAGAAAAAAACATATTACTTTAACTGAAATATATATAAGCCGATATCGGCTGGTACAAGCTCTCTATACAGTATGTCTATTTGATCGCGCACGAAAGAGGGAAATAACGCAAGTATGTAGAGAATAAATATCTTGATTTCTCTCCATCGCGGCGCAATATCATTCTCGAGCGATACTTTGTATGAAATGTCAGGTCAGCCCATAAGTTCATGCGTACTTGTTATGTGAATATATTTTAATCTGTATACGCGGAATAAAACAACTCGTAAAACGACAACAAAACTATCGATAACAAAAGAACCTGCATCGATGATTTAAAAAAAAAAATAACATTTTAAACATCCGAGTTATATTGAAAGTATATATACGCTAATATTATATATTTCAACGAAATATCGGAGAGAACTCTGATATAATTTAAAAATCAAATTCTCTCAAAATAATTCTTGCCGGTAACGTGAATTTTCGCAATCATGACGCTTATCGTTTCCCATTCCCTGCAAATGTATTCGCGAGATTGATCTGATATGATGAATGTCTCGCACAATTTCAAGACATGACGTTCGAAACCTTCGAACCTCTAAAGACAGCTTAAGCTCAAGACGAAACCATGTAACATCATATAGGTCGAAGTGGCTTCTCGCCACCAACGGATTCAGTGCTAAATATACACACGCTCTTTCGCTCCTGCAAGTGGCATTTACGTAACAAATCCGTCTTTAACAAGATCAAAATCGATTAAGATTGACGTTCGCGCCATCGAATTCCGCAGAGTACGAGAAACGGATTAATATCATATGTAGACGCGCGACGTTCACCAATGCGACATTCAATTATGACAAAGCGGCCACAATCCACATGGCAGAAATAAATTATAATCTAATGCGGAAGCGAGCGACGTGTATGTATTTAATCTCTTTTATTTTAAATTTTTAGGAATAAAATTTCACTCTTAAAAATTCCAAAAAAGTGGTAAATACACCAATCTGATAGAATGAATGTTTTCACTCTTAGAGAGTGAAGAATCCCTTCAAGCGAAAGTCAATTTTAAATCTAGTCTCTATCTCTATCTCCCTCTCCTCTCTCTATAAAATAAATAATTTCACTGTCCGAAAGAGGAGACGGAAATTTTATACCGGTAAATGTTAAGTTTTAGCACAATATATGTGGGGCATTCCATACCAAGTGTGCCATCGAAAACTTTTGGATTTTTTATTTGGTTGAAATTTTGATATATTATAGTACGCATCGCAAGAAACTCCACCCTCCAAAAAAAAGTTGTACACAAAAAAAGATTGTAGTACCCCCGAGTGATTATTTTTTATTATTATGAAAAATATAATAAAAATAGAGTGGACAAACGTGGACAAACAGTGGACAAACGAATGCAATAATGATTTTACCAAAATTCGCATTTAGAGGTGCCGACTTGTCAGAGCAGATCTGTGAAGTTGGCACTCTTAAGTGTGAATTTTGATAAAATCATTATTGCATTTGTTTGTCCACTGTTTGTCCACGTTTGTCCACCCGTTATTTTCGTTTGTCCACCCTCCAAAAAAAAGTTATACAAAAAAAAAAATTGTAGTACCCCCGAGTGATTATTTTTCATTATTATGAAAGATATAATAAAAATAGGATGCACAAACGAAAATAATGAGTGGACAATCACGTGCGCGTTGTGGACAAACGATTCCCGTACATAATTATGAAAAATAATCACTTGGGGATGCTACAATTTTTTTTGTGTATAACTTCTTTTTGGAGGGTGGACAAATGAAAATAACGGGTGGACAAACGTGGACAAACAGTGGACAAACGAATGCAATAATGATTTTACCAAAATTCGCATTTAGGGGTGCCAACTTCACAGAGCAGCTCTGTGAATTACTAAATTTGATTCGTTTTACCCATAAAACTTTCCTACTACGTTTTACGTTTCTATGGGCAAAACTAATCAGTAATTGTACATGCAAGCTTAATTCTTGCATGCAAAAGTGTAGCCGTACTCTTACAAATGAGATTGAACAATAATAACAATTTATAAAAATGAAAAATTATATTGTAAAAAAATTCATAATAAGAAAACGATAATTTTAGTATAAAAGTAATATCAATCACGGAAACACTTTTTTTTTAAATAGGTAAGTATAAAAAATAAGTTATTACATTAAGAATAAACCGAAAATTTTAGGAAATGAAAATGTCACGAGTTATATCTATATAGTATTTTACAGTGTAAAAAAATGCTCAATTGAAAAAAAATTAATTCGAAAAAAAATAGAAGGAAAAATTTGCCCACGATTAAATTAGTCTTAAAAATCATCAAATAAATCTAAGTTTTTATAAGAATTTTTTTAAAAAAATTAAACGTGTCATACTTTAAAAAATTAATAATTTGTTACATTAAATAAAAAAAAAAATTAAGAAACAATTTTGAAACTTTTCTTGATATTTTTTGAAATCTAGAGAACAAAACACACAATTTAAAAAAAAAAACGTTTTATTTGGATTATTTTCCGCAAAGTTATTGGCATTTAAAAATTGAGAATTTTGAAAAATGCGAATTTTGGAAAAAATTCATATCTCATGACTATGTTGATAAAAAAATTCGAAAAAAATCATGGTAGCTCCTCGCGACGGGTACTATAATATATCAAAATTTCAGCCAAATCAAAAATCCAAAAGTTTTCGAGTGGCACACTTGGGATGGAATGCCCCATATATATAATAAGGGCAAAGAGCCAATAATGTAAAAATCGTATTTAATTCAAATGATCATAATATAATTACATAAGCAAAATAAACAAATCTATACGTTTCGACTTTGGAAATTTTATTTCCAAAAATTTAGAGTGTTCTTCTATACTTTGAAACTTTAATTTAATATAAAATTTAATGAAATTGAAACATAATAAATATAAATACCTTAATGAATTTAATAACAGTTTTATCCTCCGCATATGTCATATCAAATATTATATTGCCCCGCAAAAATATTGCAATAAATTATAAAAGCGGACATTTCAAGAAAGATGAAACTTGAAAGCGTGGAAATTAAAATACTGAAAAATAACGCAGGTGTAGAAAAGTTATTGACGTTTTCATAAATATTCGCTTCCCAAATGATGTAATATGCCATAGAAATATGAGCAAAAACAGAATTGCGCAAAATAAATTGTTGCTTCAAATGTAACATCAAAACCTTTTCAATATAAAAATGAGGAAATCCTATCTATTTTTACAGAAAAAAAATTTACGGTTGAAACACGATAATATTCGTTTTTTCCTTATAGAGAGACGAATATTATGTATGTCATAATAGTTTGTGTACGTATTTTCTGTGAAAATAAATTCGGTTGTATTACTATATTCCGCACAAAATGCAGCAGCGAATTAATTATGGAGGAGACACTTTTTTGCTAGGACGATATAAATATGTATAATATTAGAACATGGTAAATTGAAACGTATGCCCGAAGAACTCATTAGTACTTTCATAAACATGCTTCGCGTATGTTGGTTATTTTATTTATAACCAAAATGTATCTATTTAGTTAAATATATACCGTACTTGCGCTTTGCAAATATACTTTATACATATACATAAATTAAATACATCGCAACATATGTATTTAACAAAGACTATATCAAGATTATATTGTAAAATCGCATATTACAAAATACGGTAATAAAATAATATTTGTATAATATTAACGTTGCAAAAACAAACGCGGATATAAACTAGATTTCACTAATTTACCGTGTTGACAATCCATAAATTGTTTGCCATTTTACTCAAAATATTCAATTATTGAATTGCTCTTTGCTTTATCTCTGGATTTTACATAGTTAACTGCGCTCTCATTTATAATTTTATTTTTACCCTCTGTTACAAATCTTTACTTGCTTAAAAAGTAACTCCATTTATAGCACAAAAATAATCGCTGCGATAAAGTCATCGCATGACAGGTGACTGACGTACGATGACAATCAAAGGTCGATGAGAAACTGGTGGTCATTGCAAGATGTGATGGAATAACGGCGTGATTGTCATTGAACAAAACCGTTGCTAGACTTATGCGACTTTCACAATGACGATGCACAAATACATGACATGCTTCCGGATATCTCGTGAAAGCCCGATTCCACGATGATGCTGAATTTATATAGAAGGTCAAGCGAAATCGACAGAATGCAATTCACGTTTAAATGACTTGCACACTGAATATGCAAAATATACCTAAAATATAAAGCTGTTCGTGAAACGTTATTCTTTGATTAATTAATACTCAATTCTTTCTGAATATCAATAATTCGATAACATTTTTGATTATAGCAAATCATTCTTAAAAAGTTACATAATTATTAAAAAATATATTTAAAAAACAAGAAAATCAATTTTCTTTACATAATTAAAATGTCTTATTTAATCCTGGTATCATACTTTATAACGCAATGTAAAGTTGTCAGTTTTTAAAAATATTATTGTATTTTAAATATATCATCGTAATTAATTTCACTTTTCTTTT